TCAGTCTTGATAATGTTAAATTAGATTGTGATTAAAAAATCCTCCAAAGGTAGAACATTTACATTCCTGTAAATAGTTGTGCCTGATGTTACTCATATTCTAATTTCTGATTTTAAATAAAAGGTCATTTGCAGACTGCATCAACTCCGAAATTCGAGTTTACACACAGGACTAAGTTGATGCAGTTACTAACATTAGTGACCATGTTACTTCAAGTCACATTAATGACAGTGTTTTCTCTTAAAGGCCTGACTCTACGATGGTAACATGCTCACTGTCACCCCGAACTGAAGTTGTTTTACTTCCTTAAGTTTAAACATGAGCTTTTCTAACATTTCACACAGTCAAAGCAGTAAATATTAACTCTCAATAATATAGATACAACCAACAGAACATAATCAACAGCTTCAGTGATTTCTTACAGTTCGCCCCAATTCTGAACACCTCCTCTGGATTGCTGTAGTTCTGGACGGGCTGACCGTTGCTGTGAACAAGGTCATCTTTGGGGTCATCGTTCATGTTTCCCAACAGACCACGAATGGAGCCTTTAAACTCCTCTGGCAGGAGCACAGTGGTCGTCATGGTTCCCTCTCTCAGTCGCACCTCCACCCCGGCTCCAGAGGGGAACATCACGGTCACATTTGTAGGGGTAGGACAAAACACAAATGAATCTGCAAGACATTTGGGTAGAAGAGGGGCAGTTACAGCAGTTGGAAAAAGACAATTTCTAAATAGAATTTTGTGCAATGAGCAATAGGATGTTGGAAAACTAGTTTTGCAAAAGGTGGAACAGTTGTAAAAGTTGGTTATCTCACACTTCTGAAGTGTTAAAAGAAGTACTCAAATCCTTTACTCAAGTTACAACCATGCAATCATATTCCATTTAAAACAGCGTTGCATGAGGGCCACAATTCAGAATCAATCTCTCACCGTCAAAGTTCATCCAGCTCTGCTCAGCAAAGGACAGAGTTTTGTGATTCTGCAGCACTTCAAGGTGATTGTGAGCGCTGGCCAGCCGGACCTCAATAATATTAAAGCGAATATTTTCCATGGCGACAGACGTCAACATTGTTGCGTTGATCGAGGTTTCTGACAATGAGAGAAGCAGATCAATGATGCAGGGAACAGTAGCTGTTGTTTCAGTTTATATTCGGCATGAAATGCGTGTTTTCTTTGTTTCTTGAGTAAGATATTTAAATCTTTAAAGCTCCGTGTCTCACCGTTCACAGGCTCTGTTCTGCCCTGGATTCTCAGCAATCTATGCGTCACCAAAGTGTATTCTCCTTTGCCATTGAAGGTGTAGCTGACACCATCAAATGTTATGAAGTGGGGATCTCCAAACACCACAGCTGGAAATAGGCACAAAAAATAAACACGTTGCACTCAACAACAGTCATATATATATACAGTAACACCATGCTTTACAGTCAACCAACCTGAACTGGGTGGCTCGTATTCTCTGCAGTCGGTGGAGGGCCGATGTTTGAAGTAGTATTTGCAGTTGTCAGACCAGAGGCAGCAGTAGTAGAAGCTCAGAACGTCATGGACCCAGTGAGAGAATCCAGGGATTCGAGGAGGTTTTTTGAAGGGAGGTGAGCCCCAGTCATGTGCTCGGTCTGGAGTGCTGCCCCCGATTGAGTCTGCTGTCAGGACCTGAGTACCGTTCTTGTCATAACAGCACTGCTGTCCTGCTCCATATGAGGGGCTGGTGATGAATCCCCAAAGAATGTCAGTTAAAACAGAGAACTCTGCTACAGCCACAGACTGGAAATCAATATAAACAATAATCCACAGCCATGCTGGTTGATAGCAAGAGCTCACGATGCTCATGTTCAGCCTGTATAGACCACCTTTATGAGGCATGTTGGTATTCTAACGTTGGGTCATTAGTTTTAACCTAAAGTACAACTGAGACTGACTAGTTTTGTGGTTATTTAGTTATAATTTGGTTAGAAATTAAGTTTTATGTTGTCATTAATCCTGATGGGACCATCAGTGTGTTACCAACATGCTGACAATCTATTTGATTGTTGTCAGTCACACCTACCATTGGTGGATTGAGGTACATTTACTCAAGAACTATACTTAAGCTTTGTGTGTTTTTTTCTCCTTTGAACTCCACTGCATTTTTATGACAGCTAAGTTACTTGTGAAATGAAGATTTTACACAACAGACAACAAGCTTTTAAAATGCAACACATGCAGTGTGTCACACAAGTGAGTACATCCCTCCCTCACATTTCTGCAAATATTTTATTACATCTTTTCATGGGACAACACTGAAGAAATGATGCTTTGCTACAGTTTAAAGTCGTCGGTGTACAGCTTGTATAACAGTGTAAATGTACTGTCCCCTCAAAATAATACATTTTGCGGTTTAGACATGAATGAGTCTATTGAGTTATTTTGAGGGGACAATAAATTATTATACAATTTGTTCACTGGCTACTTTACACTGGAGCAAAGTGTCATGTCGTCAGTGTTGTTCCATAAGAAGATATAATAAAATATTTTTCAGAAATGTGACTCACTGTGTACTCACTTTTATGACATACTGTAGTTAAAGATTAAACTAATGATGTAGAACCTGATTGCCTTTTGATGTCTCACAAAAAGAAGTGTAATCAGAGCCACATTTCAGATGTCTGAGTTGTGTAACAACTCCACCAAATGATTTCATTTCAATAAATGTTCAGATGATCCAATTTCTCCCCAAAATCATCAATTAGAGAAAAACTCCAAAAGATGAAAACAGATTTGTGTAGCAGAACTTTAATTCTCTTACAAAACTTCACATTTCTCTGGTGTCACTGTAAATAACATTTTAGAATATCAAGCAGGATTTTTTCAATGCTGAACTTTTACCTGTAATGGAGTATTTTAACTATGTTACATTGGTACTTTTACCAAGGTGAAAACACTAGCTGGCTGCTGGCAACAGCTGATTATCAGAGAATCAAGTCATTAAGGTCCATCCTCTGGAAACCATGAATACGTTTCATGGGAATCCACCAAACAGTTGTTTTTCAGTCTGACACTGATCATGCCGTTGCATGCAAGAAGCCCATGTATTCATGTACAATGACATTCAAATTCATAACTGATGGCTATCATTGGTTCTTAAATATTTCATCATTGATTGATTAATCTGTTGTATTGATAAAACGTGAACCATGTTCATATGCGTTGCACACAATGTGTTTTTGATGTTAAATTCATTGCAGTATTGTTATTAGTTACATCAAATGTAACTGTAATCCATTAGCAGACAATAGATCATAAGCTTCTCCTTCACTTAGTGTCAATATGCTTTGCTATGTTTTAGGTATGAAGGTTGCCACACAAGAGTGCCATGAATCATGACCCAACATATAAATGAGTACAAGGAGGGAATTTACTACTCGCTATCAGGCGTGTGGGTTATTTGTGGGCATGTTTTGTTTTATTGCAGTTATACGTAAGAGATTAGATAGAAAGAAGGACCCAAGACGCCACAAAGCACAATATGGGAGTCAACATTTGTTAATGTCATGAAAGTTGTCAGCCATAACGTGCAAATAAAAATGCATTGATGGTGACTCATTTGTAAAACTTACAACACTGCCACGCAGCTATGAGGACTCTGGTCCAAGCTGAGGACTCACCTGGCTTGTATCGCCCTCACACAGTGAACACTCCCAGGGTGGTGGGTGCACACACTCCCTTTCTCTATGTCACAGCCATAGTCAGTCTGAGGAGAGACACAGCGTCAGTAAAATGTGTTTTGACGGTGTGACCTAAATGAAAGAATGTAGCTTCAGTCTAAGAACAGCTTGTCCTTACTCAGACTTTAACGCACAAACTTGAATTTACATAGATATTATTTTGCAACTCAGTCCAAAGGCACACGTATAACATGACAGTGCAGTTTTTCAGTCTGCTTGTCCACAGAGAATCCTTACTAACACATAAAGTCACTATGCAGTTTGAACAATACATTAACCAGCATTTGTAGAACAATAATGGCTGTGCCTCACCATGACTGTACATCTGTAGATAAACCATTAATGGTTGCACGGAGTGAGCTTGTAAATGTTGTAATTAGGAGAGAGCTCCTCCTTGACTTTGAACTGATAAGCAGTGAGCATCAGCAAAAGGTTACAGCCACTGACAAGCACCATAAATACATAAAGTGAATACATTCGTTCATCTAGCACATAAAATTCCCCAACTCTGATGACCTCTTCATTGAGTTCATTTGAGACACAAGATGTTTGATTGTTTTGTTGTTGTTTCTTTTCAGTACTGCTTCTTTGTGCGCTTCTCTAAATCTGTTTGGTAAAGC